TCTGACCTAACTGGTCCTGAATCTCATGAATAGAACAGAATTTTACTCAATTAAAAACTAAACAAAATAAAAATAGCACAACACAACACAAAACAACACCGGTAAAGGGCAATAATGTTATGACAAATGCTACGTTATAAAATGGTAAATTGGTGAGATAATATGCCTATATTTACATATTATGCCTGAGTAAAAAAGTGTGACGTATTTATAAGATCATTGCAACAGGACCAATTACATCAGAGTATAATGCACTATTAACCTGAGTAATGTTGCACCGGTAAAACTTTTTGTTGTCAACAAAATTATAGTCTGAAGGTGTTAACTTCTTTTATGTCCTTGAGCAAAGCACTTTATGTATGGTGCCTTTCCTCCCAAGAGTATAATTTTGTATATACCTTTTAGTTTGAATATCAATACTCATTGCCAATACACTAATTAATATCAAGTTGCATTTTTATGAAATACTCCCCTGGGAGCAGAGTATGTTCTATAAGTGCATGAATAGTAATCAACGTTGGAGCACTGCTAGACACTTTCTGCAAAACTCTTTTATTGATGGTCTGTGTATTAGGATGGTTGCGGTGTGTTTTTATAATGTCTTGGTCTATTATGCTAAAAAAGGATAACCATGAAAATTATTAGGTTATCAAAAAAGTTTTTAGGATTAATTTAAATTAAAGCAAAATTTGCAATAAAGCAAAAATAATTGTAATTTAGACAAAAGTGCACTGTGAATTTCTTTGTTTTTGAGTCGTAAACAATCTAGTTAATTCTTAAATATTAGGTGTTTAGACCTAAGCAGGAAATTTTGCAAATCTAAATACAAAATGTTTAATTTCTAAACAGCAAGTGTTTCAGTTCTATATTGTTATGTTACATGACATGTTTACAAAGTGATAGCAAAAGTGTTTAGAGTCTAACCACTGATTTTAGAGCGTGTCCGGACAATTACCCCCTGGAAAATCACCCCCTGGAAAATTACACCCCGGAAAACCACCACCCCCATGGACAATTACCCCCCGGTATATTACCCCCACCCCCGGATACTTACCGCCCAAGGACAACCACCCCCCCCACCCCGAGAACAATTTCCCCTCGGTATATTACCCCCATTACAATTATACCCCGGGTTTAGCGTTGATTTTTTGAAAAACAATTATCAAAAACAGTTAGAGCATGTAATTTCATGAAGAAATATCATGTAAAAAATAGTAATGACTTTCTTTCTGGGGGTACTTGCCGGGGAGGGGGAGGGTAGTTTTTCGGGGTAATTTTCCAGGGGTAATTGTCCTTGGGAGGTAGTTTTCAGGGGGTAATTTTCCTGGGGTAATTGTTCTTGGGAGGTAGTTGTCCATGTGGAGTTTTTTTTTCCCGAGGGGTAATTTTCCAGGGGGAAATTTTCCAGGGGATAATTGTCCTTGGGGGATTATTTTCCAGGGAGAATTTTCCAGGGGATATATTGTCCTTGAGGGGTAATTTTTCTGGGGGTAATTGTCCTGTGGGGGTAGTTGCCCATGGAGGATTATTATCCGGGGGTAATTTTCCGG